TTAAATCCACAAAATATTTACAATTAGAAAATAAACCGAATATAGCGTTTTGTTAACCAAAACTATAATTAAAAGAATTTCAAAATTTAGACTAAAGGGAGAAAAGAGTTTCTTTAAGATACCTAATGTTAAAGGACTTTTATCAGCGTGTTAGTTAAAAAAAAGGAGAGTAAGGACTACACCGCAGTTCAATCAGAAACTTAAAATAGTCTGCTGTAATTTCGAATATCCTTAACATTTCAGTATAAAGTTGGCAAGTGTTTAGCACTAAAAATAGACTGTCCTTATTGTATATATTATCAAGCTAGCATTTTACTTTGAAAATATCAGTAACGCAGATTAACTGTTTTTATTAAAAGAAAGGCCTTTTCTTTCTTCCTATCTTAATTTTATAGAAAACATACCTGAAAATAATTCGACTGAGTAACTGAGAATATATGGTAGTAAAATAGTCTATAAAATCTTGTCTCCATTAAAGAGCACCAAAGTTATAACGCTAGTAGTGTTCAGCTAGAAGATCAAGAAATTCTATAAACCGAATTACCTAATAAACTGAACTTCAAATGACAATGCCAAGCATAATTCAAACAAAAAAAAAAAAAAAAAAATACAAACAACAATTGTTAAAAAGAAGTTTTCAGTTGAATCCTTAACCGCCAAATTTTTAAAATCATATTTTGTCATAAAAGTAGGTTTCTTTTACGTTATAAAGATATGAGTGGGATATTTTATCCCCCAAACCAATTATTATTAAGCATTATGTATTTCATTTAAAGATTCTTGTTTGGAGAACACGGCAATTACGAACTATTCTTTATGCTCATCGCGTTCCTTTTCTAAATATATACGGTCCACCAGCGGCCGAGCGGTAAAATCGCTGAACACTGGTAGTTCGGTCCGAGGTTCGAATCCCGCGAACGGGCTGGCTGCATGGGCGTTTTCGTGGTAACGTATATACGAGCCAGTTTCCCCTAGGAAGCCCTCCACGAAGGCATCCCTCCCCTTAGGCAGATATAGCCCTCGAGGCTTTGCCATAATTACACAAACCAATTCTAATTATATACGCTGCATTTACCGTACTAAATTCCTAATATTTATTTTGAACACGGTACGTTTTAATTGCTTCCCTTTATAAAATATATGACATCATAAATGTACAACATGAATTGTCAGGGATAAACAGCACACTGAAAACTATCAAAGTGAAATTAAAATGAAGTAAAGATTTCGTACTGCTATACATTATCTGCAAACAAACCTGACCTCACCGGAGGTGTGCACAGAAAATCCCAAGTGTGGTATCATGGCAGGCAACGGGTTAAATTTTTTTGGGGGGGAGGGGGCAGGGTACTCTTTCGCATTTTACTGATGATGATAAACTACAAAAAGTATAATATTTTAAAAAGAACATTTTAAAAATATTGTTTCACAAATATAAAACTGCATATTTAATTTTTCATTAAATGAAGAGTTATATCTAACATTAAACCAATAAATATACGCTTTCAGATTAAAGCTTGGTACATTCTCTTAGGATGCAGTTAAATTTTGGATCACTTTCATTTAAACTTCTTTCCATTTCTTTACAACAAAATCTTTACCATTCCTTAGCAGTATTTGTACTTTTTCAAATTAATATTCCCCATGTATTCATTATTCGGTTTTCAAAACCTAATGCTAACTTCTGGAAAGCAGAATTTCAGTATGACTCGAGATTCAATCATACTGAAATTCTACTTTCTAGAAGTCTTTCATAGGTATCATAGCATACATACAGTTGCTCTGACTGATAAAATTTATATTTGCAAGCAATATTTTCTGCTACTGACAACAAATACTGCTCTAAAAGTGCTTGATAATATCACGTATTTAGCCGACAAATAATTATTGAAATCTAAATATTTCAGACATCGCGACCCCAAAGTTTCCACCCCCGACGATCACTGAACCCTTTTCTTGCTGTCTGGGTGAAAGAAAAAAGTATGTAGAATAAAATGCTTTTTTTTTTTCTTTCACCCAAGTCGCGCCAGTAATATTTCCAAACGTCTGGATCATCTAAATTGAATTTTTTTCCCTAACCCAAATGATCTGTTTCCGGGAATCAGTCCATCTAATCACTTTTAGCTCATTTCAAGAGTTCAGCTTTATGGTGAAGTGGCAATAAAAGACGCTAGTTTTTCTTTTTCTTTTGGTATGGAAAATGAGAGCAGAAAGGTACATATCTGCCAAATGCTGAGTTAGGAAATGTCTTTCGCATGGAAAATCACGCAATGAGAAATTGCCTTGATAAGCTGCTCGCACAATGAATCATTTCATACGTACTAATACTGACAGCCGATCCAGTATAACTCTCTTTTTTTTTTTTTTTTTTTAAAAAAAGAAGAGTAATACCAGAATATTACTGTTATCAGCACTTGAATGGTTTAATATCTTAAACACCTTTTATAATAAAAATCATTAATTTTTTTCCTCTGCCATATTCACTGTGTGTTTTCCCAACACTGCAATGGTAACGATCTGAAGTAAAAAAGTTTTAGTGAAAGGGAAAATAAATCGGTTTTCTCTATCTTGACTCAGAAAAATGGGAGAAAATATGAACACCAAGATTGAAATACTTCCTATTTTCAGTTTTCATATTTAATGATAAACGGATTTTGCATTCTTTATTTAAGAATCAATTTAATTCAAACTTTTAAACACGGTTTTGTCAAGTTAAATGTGAAGGATACAGGCGAAATTTTGTAAGGCATATTATTTCATTAAAGGAGAAAAAAAAAATTCTGATATTTATTTCACATGATTGGTTAAATTTCTGCCATTAATATCCATCAAAATTTCTCCCTGAACTTGTAAAGGAGCATATTATGATTTATAAAATGACAGCATATATTCCTTTCCTAAGGACTTTAATGAATTAAAAGTGGGAAAAGCATCTACACGAAATACGATTCTTAAGGATACGAGGCATTAAGCCTCTTTTAACTCATCACATTTTATGCTACTTGCTCTGTTTTCTGCGATATTTTCGTCTAATAAGCAGAAAAATATGAATACCATATTCTAAAACACATTAATCATTCAAAACATGTAATAAAGTGCTACTGACAGAAAAATGTACATAGAATATATATCAGTACAATAACTAACGCAATTATTTCCAAACTTGTTCGAATGAAGACACACGGCGCGTAACTTGAAGACCCGTGTTGTCATGACCTAATGACATTGATTATGCATTACAATTTTATTATTACTATTATAATTTATTATTATGAATTTTATATTAATATTTACCCAATTAATGTGAAGCCTGAACTTTGCGTGTTCCACAGACTTTATGAAAACTTGCTTTATAGTTGACGGATTAACATGCAAATCATGGTCAAGACCTTTGAGGTCCGTTTCCTTGGCTAGATGACTTCCTTTACATAACAAAAAATGCTAATTCTGAAGTCAGGTTAGGTTAGTTCAATATGGCAAAGCACATGGGTATCTGTAGGAAAAGAAGGATGCCTTCATGGAGGATGGTTTGAAGGGAACTGCCTAGTATTCATATTACATATGAGAGAATTACCAAAATTCACTGTGCAGAAAACCCGTTTGCTTGGAGTCGAACTAACCAGCAACTGAGATCTAAAGTGACTTAAGTAAAGGCTTTAAAAATCACAGCCAGAGCCATTCGGTCTTCTTGGACAATCTCTCATGATTTCATTCAGATGGCCTTGTCTAATGTAAGCAAAAAAATATTTGGATATATATGTATATTTTTTCTTTGGTTACGAAAGTAAGGATGCGAAAAATAAAACAAAAGTACGATAGTTTCTAAAGAAGGAAAATAGCATTAGTAATTGTACCCTTCGTGTTAAAAAACATCTTTCCCATCTCAAGACAAAGAGAAAATTATAAAATAAATAAATTTCTCAATGCTTAATATGCAATAGATTTTTGTACTCTCAATGTACAATGAAATTATTGTTTTAAAAACTGTAAACTTTAATTTATAAAAATATAAATTAAAGTTTATCTGGAGGGGGGAGAGGTTGTAATATCTTGTTATTTAATAAATAAGTTGTTGTAAGTACTTGTTATTTAATAAATAAGTTGTTATCTTGTTATTTAATAAACAAGTTGGCAATAAATATTGCCTGTATCAAGTTGGCAATAAATATTGCCAACTTGATACAGGCTGTTTAGTGATAAAAGGAGTTAACAGGTTTCATGGTAAATACACAATTGAGTAGTTTATAAAATTCACGTTTAAATTTGAAAACTGTGTGACATACTTCATGAGAATTTGATGCGCGCTGGTAAGAAAACATCATGAAAAATTACGTTTATCTAGTACTAAACTTAAAAAGCTGACGAAGCTGAATATTTTAGAAAGTGGTTTAAATTTAAGAGTATGTATATTATAAGGAGCGCGTCTTGTTTTGTTACTATTAAGCTGAAAATCAAATTGCCTAAATAAATTTGAGAGGTTTAATTCCTAAAATAATTTGTATTAAAGGAATTATTGTTAACACTGTAGATAATATTAGTAATTTCCACTACCAACAGCTCCTTTTGTTTAAGTCAGTCGAACCATAATTTTGATATTTAAAATTACGCAAAGATCACAGAATGGAAATCTGAGACTCATAGTGCATATAAAAACTAGAGTTCAAGATTGAAAAATTATCTTATTTACAGTATTATTACAGTATTTCAATTCTCTCGCTCTCTTTTTTGGATGACATCAATAAAATTTCACTAAATATCCAATAAGTAAGGCAGCACCGTGTTAGAAGAAAGTAAATAATACATACAACCACAGAATTTTAACAAATTATTATGAAAACACACCTATGCTAAAGTTAATTAAAAGCAAAATATGCTAGATAGTTTATTAATGTTATTTAAACTCTAGATATATTAGATAAAATTTACTTATGTTCAGTGAACTTAAAATACACTTAATAAAGTTTACTAGTGCAAATTGAACATAAAATATATCAGTATACCTTATATCCTCGAGTATTGCTCGATATATCGCACTTTCCACACTAGTCGAAAAACCTGTTACTTTTTGCTAACACCATAACTCTTGCGAACACATTTTGCATAAACTACCAAGGTAACAACCACTAAAATTATTTTTCTAAACTGTACTTGGTTAGTATAGATTATAGACCCGTCTAAATGAGCCAATATTGAATACTTAGTCGCAAAAGTGTTATTATTCAAAAACAAAATCTGCAAACCACAATCGACGTTAACACTTGCAAGTCATTCTTGAACTGAATCACATCAAACGACAAAATGAAAATTCGGAATAAGAATTGTGTCAGATGGCAGATGTTTATATTTTCTCGTACTTTGACGCAGGATGTTAGTAACTTGTAAGGAAGATGAATGGCTTCATTTTTAGAGTTTGATTCGCATATTCTGATTTTTTATACATAAATGTTATTCTGGCGGAGTGATTGTGCACTTGGAGAAAGCTGCCCAAATATTAAACGTTATTCATGCAGTAAGAATAAATATAATTTTATTTGAGAGAAGCAGTTTTCTGATCTAGAAATTTGCTCGTATTTTGAGTTATATCGCATGTAAATAAAAGGTAACGAAATATGCATAAATGGTAGGTTTTTTTTTTAAATTCTTTTTTATTTATAAACTTAAGTTCACTGAGTATAAACACCGAATTTCGCTTTTTCTGATGTTAACTAGGAATTAAAAACTAAACTTCTTTGAAAATTGGTCCACAAATAGCTGAGTGATTAATACCGCAAAACAGTAATAGTTCATTCTGTGACCTATTTTCTGAGATTCTACTAATATATAAAACAAATGCAGGCTAATTTCTTATAGAGAATCTTCCACCAAGGGATCCATCCCATGTGTTGTTGGCTCTCATTCGCCATAATTAAATAATCCAATCCATCATTGAAAAGTTTATATTCTCAAGAATAGCTAAATACTTTATTCTTAGTTTCCTGAACTTAAATTCCCGAAATTAATATCAAGTTTCACTTATTTTAGAAAAGTTAAATCTTTTAATAAAGCCACAGTCTTCAATTAAGATGGAGCAACACTTAATACAAAATCCTATTTTCTTGAATAATCCTAAGCGTATAACGTGATTAGTTTGTAATAACCGAAAACATTAAATTAAATTACATATTATATATATATATGAACATCCTTATTTATTCCTTAAAAGTAAAAATCCATAAAATGCTAGAAAATACATACATTTATGCAGATTCTTCATTATTTAATTTCTTAAAATACAGGGTGATAATATTTGATGGCGACAATTTGAAAAGCGAATCGATATTTGTAGTGAACCAAACGCAAAATGCCAAAACGAAATTAATAGTCCTTCAGGGCAAATTGCCCCTTTGGACTAATAATAAAAATAATTAAAATAAAGTTTGCAAATTAATTGAATTTCACTTTCACTGCTCGAGTTAAAATTAGGTAATCAATCAGCATCTTATGTTTTAATATAAGCCACTGTATAATTTTCTTTATAAGGACATAATGAATATTTCATTCAGGCAGTACATGGCCTAATAAAAGATCTCAACACTACGCACAGGCATGTAATGCATTAAAGGAAAACCGTTCGCAGTTTAATGTTAAGTTGAAGATTATGGCAAAAACACTTAAGGCATAACTGCTTTAGAGAGATATATTTTAGAGGCAAATTGTTAGTATTCACATTACCTATGGGACCAAAACTGAAAACTCCCTGCATTCCTGGGGGTTTATCCCCGGGTCAAACTACTAGTACTCTGCGATTTTACCGCTCAGCCGCTGGTGAGCAAAAGTGGTCATATCTCCTCGACAACCGCGGGCGTGTGACTACTCCAAAGGGATCGGAGGAGTAAAATTTTCAAAAAAGAATGGAATTCACTGTACACTCTTCCTCCAAAGGAATACTGGAGTTATACATTGGAGTTGTTTACATTTAAACATAATAGGATACTGACATAAAATTAGGGAAAATTACATAACACAAACTGATGAATATATTCATTACAATAGTGTATTAAGAAAATACAATAGAATTGATAGTTCAGTGATCGTTGCACTGGAATTTTTATATTTTCATGCAAGTAGGGACGGTTATACATATGGAGTTTGATTTTGCTAATATATTGCAAAGTCAGCTTTTTGTTATATGAGGATATTTATTATAGGTAAGACTTCACTGAGCTCAGATCTTTCAGTTCAGAGTTCGTAAACAAAATTCATGAGCTCAGATTAGTACGATTGGTGTTTCGACGAATTATGGAGATTATTTATGTCGCTCACGATCAGTTATCAGAGTCTTGCATGGTCATTGCTCTTTCTGCTTTTTAGTTTTGGATCTTAACGTGTGACTTGGTAAAGGTCCTGTTCTAGAGCATTGAGCTTTTGACGTACTTTTATGATTTTTGGATATAGGTGCCAATATATAGATATCAAGAGCCTTTTGAAGTTAAGATGGGTTTTCGAATGGGCAGATTATCTGTAATAGTAGAAGAATAGGTAACTCACAGACGCAATTGCCGCTATTAGAGAGGTTCCTTTTAAGAAAATAATCTGTATATGGGCCACGACCGGTGAGGTAATAAGTTGGGAAGGACTTGGAACTTTTGAATTCTGTGCCGATTTTTGGGAAAAACTGGGGAGGGCGCCGGCGTGTTATGGTGCTGTTTTACTCTTCTTGTCACTCGTGGCTTATGTGTTTAGGATTTGTCGTAGTTACGATTTTGGAAGCTTGATGTTGACGAACTTGCTTTCTCAGGAAATAACTGCTTCTTTTGCAAGATTGTCGGCAGTGTCGGTGCCCAACGTTGCTGCTATTCCCTTTGATACAAGTAATGGTTATTTCAGCAATGAAGATCTTTAGGGATTTGATTATTAACTTCATTGGCCAGCGGAGAATGTTTGTCTGGATTTCGGATGGAGAGTATGGATGCTTAGCTGTCCGAGTTCACAGATATTTTGGAGAAGTTGTTTATTGACGCAATGTTAATAAGCAGCTTCTATGGCTAATATTACCGCTTGATATATACGACTGAAGTTGTTTAAGTACTCTTTTACATTGTGTTTCAGAATCTAAATGCTTTTGGATTGAAAAGAATGCTGCACAGCTAACTTTTGATTCCTCCGTCAGTGTAGGCTTCAATTCCTTTGTTTCTTGGGGTGATGTGCTTTTGGATTTTTATTTTGGTATGGATGAGGGCGTTGATTGCCTGAAGAATAGAGATAATCCTTGAAGCTTGTGCTTTTTTCTGAGTTGAAGAATTGAAGAGCAGGTTAGCTTAGGCATAAGGTGCAAAGGCCGTCTATTATTTACTCTGAGTACGTAGGTAAAGGCTCCTTATACAATCTGTCCAGATTAACGTAGCCTTCTTGGGGCCCACGTAGCCTTCTTGGGGTGTCGTTCTGGTGCCGAGATGCTACTGTTATTTGGTGCAACTGACATCACAAGCTCTGCCGCCGCTGGCGGTGTCCTCAGTTGTATCATTTTATGTTCGGACTTGGGCAGGTGTGACATTTATACCTTTGCCTGAGTTATACATTAAACTTTGGATACACGCAATAGATATAACATGAATACATTACACTGTTGCTTAAGTAATATATTAGCCGGCTTGTGCTGGTGGAGCATTTAAGTGCGTACGCAATGACCGCGTGTTTATCACATCTACCCATTCTTTGCTTAGAGATACATATGCTTAGCCCCTTGCACTATTTGTGAGTGTATAACGTCCTGCTTCATGTTGTTCGCGATGCTTATTGCTTTCCTGTGGAGTTACACGTGCAAATATTGTATCTGTACTTATTAAATAAATGCTTTGTTTCATTGTTGCTGAAGCACATTTTTTGGCGGCTAATTTACGATGCATAGCTCGACTTCTGGCTGCTAGAAAGTAAATAAGCTTCGTAATTTTGTTCTTTAAGTGCTTATTTTTGACTGCATATCTTAGGAATGGGAATAAATCCCCTTGTGAATGTGGCTTCTTTAAATGAAGCGTGTTAACGGGCAGGGAAAAATAATGTTCGGGGGGACCTCTTCCCCTTTCTCTGTTGAAGAGAGATTCCTTGTATAGAAGTACATGGAAAAGGGCAGTGCCCCGTGATAAACCACGTGATTTGTCTAGAAACACTAATCGGAGAAGAATTAAACTCTAGAGAAGAGAATGTATTCTCCCTGTATTGGCAGTGTCCCACCATTATTGCCAAGATTCTTTAATTCCATTTTGCAGTTTTAGTTTCAGGTGTGAAGATAGTCAGGGATGCTTGATTTCATGGCACGTATTCTCTGGGCTACCTTGTTGGCTAAATAAGTCAGCCTCTTCGTTTCCTTTGTGGCCAACATGGGTTTTAACCCAAGTTTTGAAGAAATGTTGGCCTTGGGTAATGGAGGACTTGCTGAGGATTTCTTGAGCTAGTGGTGATTTATTACTTGTGTTCGCAATTGCATACACTGCAGAGGGAAATTATGTATAGATATATGTCCTTGGGAAATGCTTATATACATTCATTAATTGCCTATAGGATCTCGAACATTTTCGATTAAATACGCTTTTCTGTATATCGAATTGAAGATTGAAGTCCTTCGTGTCATGATCATTGAGACATATTTTTATGGCCCACCCTTTTCCGTTGGTTATATAGGAGCCATCTGTGTAAGTCTTCGGAAAGAACGTTTAGCCAATACAGTGTAGCACATGAGGTTGTTCTATAAGCTGGGGTATAATTGAAAAGGAAGAGCCTTTGGGTGGATTGGAGTATCTTTTGTTTTCACACCTTCATCAGGGATGTCCATATCGCTGCACCCTGAAGTGCTTTCTTTTGACAGTGTTATAAACCAGTTTTGTATCTGGGGTTCAACACCCTATCCGATGCCCTGCATTCTTTTCAGATTTTTAGCTATGCTGGAGGTTTCTTCTTAGTTTGCTGCAGGTGCTCAATGAAGTTACTTTATTAATTTAGAAGTCAAACAACAAAAATAAGCGTAAAACTTGCAAATTTTCACAGGATTAGTTTGGATGGTTTTACCGAGACATCAGCCTCAGCTAGCAAAGTGCAAGTGATTAATTTATCTATTATAATTCCCAGATATCTTAGGGATTTTACTATTTTGATTTTGTTGTTGCCAATGTGGAATTTTAGTAGTCTGGTTATTTTTTGAGAGGGCTTTTGAAGTAAGATAGCTTGTGATTTTTCCTGAGATACTGTTAAATT